TGTATTGACAAGTTGAATATACTATATCATATTTTCAATTAATTCATCAAACTACATTCCTTCAGAATCTTATTTTATTGCTTCTATACCTTATATGATACTCTTTGTTTCTTCTCCTTCTTTTATCAATTAATAAATTGATTTCATTATTCTTTTAGATTATTCTTGTAATCATTTTTGTGTTTGTAAAAAAATATGATTTAAAGGAGTAAATTAAAGTGATTTAAAAGTTAATTTAAATTTCAAAAGGTGAAAAATTATACAATGATAAAAAATACTTCCCTTTATAAATAAATTTATCCATTTGATTTGATACCTTGTAAATTCTTTATTCATGATTGAAATAATATAAAAAGAACTCTTCATGATCAAAAATTCTGATTTGTATAAAAACAAAAAGTCAAAATAATAATACATTATATTATTTATAAAAATTAGATCAATCCAAATATAATTTACGCAAATTAATAAATATAATACATCAGACAATTAGAGTAGATCAAAAATAACAAATCATCACCTCAGTAATAATAAAAAATCATTATAAAATTATTCATCACAATTTAGTAAAAAAATCAATAAGCAATTACAACACAAGTTCAACAAAAAATTGGTCAAAAATTGATAAAAAAAAAATGTGATTTCTCAATACAATTTCAACAAAATTTCAACAAAATTTTAATACAATTATGAGGTATTATTTAATTAATATATCAAAATTTATGTAACTATAATATCATTTTATTCAATAAAAAGTAAAAGAAAAAACTAAACTGTAAACGTTGTTAATTATTATTACAGTAATCCCAAATTATTATTCTATTATAGTAATAAATTTATTGAGATTAGTTTGTTTTGAAAAGACAAACTGTTGTTTTAAAGCTTCTTTTCTAAGCTTTTTAATAGACTTTAACTTTTCTTTTTTTATACTAAATGTTTTTTCTTGTTGCTCTAAATATAAAATTACTTTATCATAAATCTCAATAACTTTTTCAGAAGTAATTATTGATAATAAAGAATCTTCTTCTGTTTCATCATCTTGATTAGGTAAAACTGCTTTTAAAATTTTTTTATCAGATATCATTTCATCTGTAATTTCAAACTTATCATACTTAACAAATTCTTCAGCAAAAAAAGAATTATCAAAATCTAGTTTATTGATTAATACTTAAACTTTTTCCATTTTCTTTAACCATTTAAGTAATATATTGTTACTAATTTTATTCTCATTTTTATGATTATCTTTAGGTAAAATATCTGCTTTCACCTAACAATTTTTAATTGTTTTATTTATAATGTTATCCTATGCTTGTAAAATGTATTTTATATATTAATTTCAGAGGGTTTAATATAGTATTTATTAAATTTATCAAAAGCTTTAACCTGATTTTGTAAATATAACTTTTGATATTGTGCTTAAAATAAGTTAAATTAAAATTAAATATAAATAAAGTATAAAATATAATAATATTAATTATATTTTAACTAAAGAATTATTAAATCAATTACATTTCTCACCTTAAAACTATTTATGATATTTTGATTATAAGGTTGAAGGTATGCAATAGTATTTAAAGGAAGGGATTAAATAGTAATATTAGTTAGGCAGGTGGTTTTATAAAGAGTATGTGTCAGAGCATTGTTCACAAGAAGGATAATTTTCTGATTTTATCTTCTCATTTTTGTATCAAGTTTTTTTATATAATCGTTTTAGATTGAAACTTACATCTAATTTTTTAGGTTTCAATAGTATTCTGATTGGAAGCATTCTTTTATAATATTTTTAATAACCTAGGATTTTCATACTTATATATGAACAAAGGTGTCAGCTTTTCACTCTCTGTTACATTGCATATGAGTAGGATCATTACACAATCCTTTGATTGTTTTGTTCCTAATATTTGTTCATTAAATATCATTTAATATAGTTTTATCTTCTAAAAAAGTCCTATTTCATCATAATTGAATATATCTTTGGAATTATAATCTTTTAATATTTATCAGAGATTCTCTCTCATTGTTTTAAGATCTTCAAGCAACGCACTTGCGACTTCCCTATATATATAGTACTATTTAAGGTTATGTCATTTTTTAAAGTTGTCTATCTAACCACTTGATCTTTTAAACTTATCCTCCTTTAATAAAAAAGCAAAATTTAAAGCTTTTATTAAAAGAATATTGTCCGTAATAATGAGGTTAGCTTTAAGTGTATTATCTACCCAAATTGCTAACACTTCTTCAATAAAAGGGAATAGAGTTTTCTTATTATATTTCAAATTGGCTTAGTATGAATTGGAATCCATAGAAAGCCAATGGTTTTTCTCTTTTAAAATATCATTAACCATGACTTTACTAATATTATATTCATTAGCTAAGTCTTTTTATTTTAAAAAAAGGTAATGATATTTTTTTCAAACAAAGTTTTTTTTTTTGCAACTATAAGAGATTTTTGTTTTTTTAAAGGTTTATTTTATTTGTTAGTAGGTTTATTAAGTTGTTTCTTTGAGTTTACTTTTGGCATTATGCAAAAAAAAAAAATTAAACATGTAAAAAAAAATTATTATAAAACACGAAGCACAATGTATAATATGAAATATTTATTCATTGTTTATTTTATTTAAAAAGCTAGAGGTATAAAATATTATATAACTAAATTTAGTTAAGCAAAACTTTACTGTATTAAAAAAAATTTGTTATAAAGACAATTTGTGTTAAAAAAAATTATTTTATATATAAATTTTTCTGACTTTAATTCGTTAAACATAATACGAATTTTTAATTACCAAATTTAGTATAGTAAAATTTTTTTTATATTTAAAATCTATCTTATACTAAAAATTTGTTATATTGTAAATTCGTTATATTAAAATTCATTATAAAAGAATTGACTGTATATATTTATAAAATTTTTTTAAAATTTTAATTTTTTATAAAAATAAATCAGAAGGAAATTTATAATAAATAAGCAAATAAATTTGCTTATGAATCTCAACAGTTTAAGAGATAAAATAAGTAATAAATAAAATAAATTTAAAAAATAATACATATAAATAGCATAATAAAATATGATATGATAATACAAAATTTCATTTTATATTATACTATATTAGTTTTATAATAACTAAGTTTTATTATTAAACTTGTATAGTATAGTATAATATCAAATTTTGCAAAAATTACTAATTTATATAATTATATTATATTAGCTTAAAAAATTGTATTATACTAGTTTCTATATATTTAATTCTTAATAATTAATAATTTAATATAGCTTAAATTTTGATATATTATAAATATAATTATTATTAATTTAAATTACTAGATATTGAAAAATAAATTTACAAATTTTAATAAAAATGTATTAATTTTGTAATAAAATTTATATTATGATCTCAATATCTAGTGATTCAAGTTAAATAAATTTTAATATATTATTCTTTTAAAATTATATTTTAAATATATTAAACTTTAGTTTAATTTTAATTAATAAGTTCTAAGAAATACAATATTATAAATTGTATTTAGAGTCTTTCAGCTTTTTTTATATATCTGAAATTTAAATTTTATTTAAAATTTCATTTAGATATAAATGTCTGAAATTTAAATTCTATTTGAAGCTTAATTTTAAATAATTTAATTTTAGATAATTTATATCTAAAATTCAAATTTTATTTAAAATTTTAATTTCAAATATTTCAATTTTAAATAGCCTTATATCTGAATTCAGAATTTATATGAAATTTAATTTCAGATATTTAAATTTAGATGGTTTTATATCTAAAATATAGATTTTATCTAAAGTTCAATTTTAGATATCTTAATTTTAGACAGCTTTATATCTGAAATTCAGATTCTATTTAAATTTAATTTCAGATATCTTAATTTCAGATGTTACATTTTATTTTAAAAATAAAATTTGAAGTGATATAAAGATTTCTCAATAAAAATAAGCTACAATAAACAAGCAAGATCTATAAAATCTATTACTATTTCTTTTTCTAGTTCAAAGACATCTAAGTTAACTATAATACCTAAAATATCTACTTACTATTTCACTCAAATTACTACTCCCTGCTTTCAACTTAACTACTAAATTTAAAATCAAACTTAATTATCTGATTGATAAATTTTTATTTTACAATTACAGAAAAAATAATCACTATTGAAAGGTTTAAAAAGTTAATTATGAAAAAAACTAATTTTAGTGAATTATAGTAAGATTATTCATATAATAGATCATTAATATTCTTTTAGATTAAACAGCCTTAATAACCCTATGTAAATATTATAATTACCTTAATGACTAAGAATTCCTTCCTATAAGCAAAGTTGAAGAGAACTTTTTTATGTAATCTACTAAAAATCATATACAAATTATTGTGAATTTACTCACTTCTACTGGTAAGTAAATTATAAAATATTATATAAAGTAATTCAATATCAAAATAATAATCATATATTTATTAATTTTATATTTTTAATCTATTTTACTTAGACTGTAAAGTTAAAATAATAAGTAAAATATTTGAACATTTTAATATGTGATGAAACACATAAAAAGATACTCAATAATATAAATCAAAAGTTTATTAAATCAAATTAACTACTTGTTAAAGCTAATAAAAGGTAAATAGATTTGTTTACATCTTTTTTATCTTTTTCAGCTGTATTTCTTTTAGAAAGAATCAAATAGAAAAAGACAAACTGCTCAATCACTTTAATTATCTATAATTGCAATCAATGCAAATGATTTTAAAATAGAAAAAGAGGAAATAAAACTATTCAACTAAGATACATATAATAAAAATCAACAAACAAATGATACTAAAGTAAATGATGTTATTAAAGAAGAATATATCACTATTAAATAAGAAACATTCATATTCTTAATAGTTATGATTTTATGATACTAAATCTCAGAAGTTACTTTTATTATAAAAATATGATATGTTAAGTGAAATAACAAATGTAGTGATTGCAAAGAAAAATCACTAATTTTTATGTTAGTTCATGAAATTCAGACTGAATTTGAATTAAAGAAGGATATCCAAGAATTTCATGTTTCTCAAGCTATTAGACAGCTTTTTATAGCAAATATTTGCTCAAATGAAGCTGTATTTATAGTTTTTACTGATTTTAATAGTAAATGAATTTTTTTTCTAGTTAAAAAATAGTTTAAAATTATGCAATCTTGAGTCATTCTACATGTTGAAATTTCCATATATTAGATATGCACTTGAAAATATAAATGATTCTTCACTTCCTTTCACAAAAAAAGTTTAATAATTTCTTAGAACATATATATATGGAAAGTGTAGATCCTAATTTAACTAATGAAAGACTAACACATAATGAAAATGATTGTTTGGAATTATTTCTAAAAAGTTCTAAGGTTCACCTTGAATTTGAGCAAATATGAAAGATGTCTATGATAAGATGACTGAAGAAGAGATATGTAATTGGAAGGTGAGACGTGTTTTAAACCTTTTAAAGAAACACTAAAATTTTAATCATTTTTCAAACAGATAATGATTACTTGCATAATTGATTAGTAAAATTTGCAGATTTGCAGGTGAAGTATAAAAAGAAATTGTTCAAGCATTTTTCTTCATTGGTATAGGTTAATAGTTGCTCTTTAATTCTTTTTACTAATTTTGTTCATTTTAAACTTAAGAATTAAGAGAAGCTGCTCACATTGATTGTGATTCTTATTTAAATTAATCATGAGCATCATCTCAATCATTAGCCAATTACATTGTGTAAATGCTTGAGATCGCCCTTAATAAAAAAAAAAGGATTTTATAAAATATATTTTATTTGTTTCAATATTTTTTAATTTAAAATGTCAAATTATTTTATTTTATTTTATACAAGACTACAATTTTTTTAATGGAGGAAATTATATTGCTTAGGGTTTGAATACATATCATACTTCACTATCAAGTTAAAGCTTCTCAACCTCATTTAGGATGTCGATTTATAAATACTCCAAATATGATTTAACCCTCCTTTTTATTTTATGAAAATTTGTCACGAATGGGGAAATATTTTCGAAATATTGTTTTAATCAAATAAAATTCATTTAATGTATCTAAAAAGCATATTAAATTAATAAAATAAAATCATTAAATATGCATTGTATTTGGCTTGCAGATAAATGTGTACGTAGCTTCTTTCTTATTTGGAATTCCTGGAAGACTTTTTAATTCCTCCATAAAATTTAAAAAGTATTGCGCGTACTTCTCTATAAATCCTCCGGAAATCATCTGGAATATATAGATGTACATATGTGAGGATTTCATAGGCATATCATTTGTCAAATTAATGTAAAGTGTACATTTTCAAGTCTTTAAACATATGAAAATGATGGTGGTTCGTGGATTATGGGGATAATCTGGGTAATTCCATATACGACGCCTACAAATCATAAAATTGTAACGTTTTAAGGTATGCATTCATTCCTCCATGGAATGCTTATCGTTGTTTACGAATCCATTCTATCTATATCCGATTAAATGAAAAATTTTTTCTTTTTACATTCTTATTCAAATTGTCTTATTTAATAAAAAAAAAAAAAATCGGGATTATTCATTCCGAAAGATTTAGGTATTGAAACACAACATATTTATTTTTTAAGGTAATCAAATGACTTGGATTTTCAAAAAAAAAAAAAAAAAAAAAAAAAGGAAAGAAAAGAAAAGAAAAGAAACAACGTATTTAGATTAAACCTAAGTGAATTTTAATTCCACATTTTAAATCCTCTCATCACCGATTTTGAAAAAAGTCAAACCCATAAAGTGTTAGTTCAGGTGGTAAAACGTAAAATGCAACATTTTTGAACGTGACTAAAATGTGAAAGTATGTTTATACCAAATTCAAGTATGATTTGATTCATGAAAATTCATTTACATCATAAAAAATCAATATTTACACGATTGAAAGATGAGAATCTAGATTAAGTTGAAATAGTTTCGACAATGAATTAAATTCATTTATAAAAGAGATGCTCGTTTATTTTTAATGATTTTAGGTGTTACAGGTGATTCGAAATATCATTCAAAAAGGATTACCAAAACTGCAAATTAATTCTAAGAAATGTTAAATAATCTATAGTTTCGGAAATGAAAGATTTCAATGTATATACAAAGAAAAAAAAATTAAAATTAAAATCAAAATCAAAAATAGGAATTTGAAAGAAAATGTTTGTTATTTTACATATCGAGTTAATCCCTCTAATTGAAAAAAAACTATTCTTCATCATCATCCTTCACCTCAATTTCAAATTTCTTCAAGATATTCAATTTCTTATATTTTTCGATCACTTCCATGTTTTTCTTATGTATATTTTGAAGTCCCCCCAAGTAAAAATCTTTGATAGAATCATCAACAATAACTATTAAAGAAAACGATTTGAATGGTATGCGAAATTTCCAACACATCAAAAAAGAATCCAGGTCCTCGGGAAATAACTCCGAACCATCCAAATTATAGAGTTTTAACTCATGAAAACTTGGTGGAGAATGATCCGCTATGATCGCAAATAGTTCTTCTTCCTTCAAATATTTTTTACCACAAAATTCACCACACCATACTTCAAGACTCTCCAATTGTTTACAACCATTAAAGATGATTTTTAAAGTTTCCACTTCATCATTCTTCAATAATAAAGAAAGCTTAACGAGATTTGGACAAAGCTTAACTATAGATGACTTTAATGATTTATTATCCGTGTCCGTATTAAATTCTTTTAGGTTCTTTCCATTCCTTTCTAAAAAAGATGTAAAATATTCAACCTTTGGACACGCGTAAGGAATTTTTAGGATTTGCAACTTGGGAAAGGTAACGAATTGTAATTCTTTAAAATCGTCAAAGTATCTTTCTTCATAAAAGGAAATATTGAGTTCATGTAAATTCGAGAATGCAGAGATGAAAGATATCGGCACATCTTCAGCAAATGAAACGAGATGTAATTTCGTCAAGGTCGTGGAATGTTTTATCAAAGCTGATAAGATATCCGTCCAATATACGCCGTCACAGGATTGAAATAATTTCAAGTGTTTTAAATTCTTTTGTGAAGCGATCAGGTCGAATAACCCATTTGAAATGATATTTTCAAATTCTATAGTTAATGATTTTAGGTTGTAACAAAATTGTAATAAATGATAAAAAAATTCGGAGGAATTGTTTGAATTACACCTTAATTCTGTAAGGTTTTTTATACAACTTATACCTCCAGGAAAGTAAGTAAAGGGAACATCGAGTAAATTGGGTATGGTTTCAAAGCATATAAAAGTATAATCTAAAACCTTTAAAGAAGAAATTTGTGTCATAAACAGTTTTAAGATTTCCTGCATCGTTAAATATTTGATAAATGGCAAATTCTGAGGTGTAACGGATTTCTGATGTTGAACCACGTGCTCAATGATCTTGTCAACCTTATAAAGGGATAGAACCTTGCAAAAGGAAGCGTAATTAAAAAATGGAGACTTGTAAGTAGGTGTTGAGGTGACGATCCCGTTATCATATAAAACGGTTTTTGATTCCTTTGGAAGACAAGCGAATAAAGCACTAAATATAGAAATCGGTACATGCGTTCGGTACGGTCTATAGTGTACATTATAATGAAAACTCCAAATATCCCTCCATAAAATTCTAACTGCAACCTGACACCAAAGACGGTTAACTAATAAACATGAGTGTAAAGTAACTTTGTCTTCTTCTAAATATTCGAAAATTTCGTTGAGGCAATCAACAGGGAGTTTACAAGTCATTATTTCAAAAAGAAAAAAATTTGGTTTTTTTTTTTTTGAGAAAGAGAAAAAAAGAAATCATGTTACAAATGTACTATTTTATATTATTTTTATGCATTAAATATTTTACAAACAAAGTTAACACCCTGAAAATCTTTTTAATAAAGTATTGGAACCGGCTTAAAAAAAACTTTAATCGGTTATTAACCGGTTAATTAACCGGTTAGGGGATTTTTTTTTTTGGCGCAACATCTCTTTTTTTAATCTTTTTTTTTTTTTTTTTGTTTTTACCAATCTTAATCTTTTATGGTATCATATTAGATCCCCTACACGTACAAATTCATTGAGATTAAAAACTTTATTTCGCTTCACCACCTTACCGATACATCCATTGTAAGTCAATTATGAATGGTACGACTACGTGTCAATTCGGTAAAATCAGATCAATACATTGAACGTAAATATCAGATATTTGAATCGAGAAATTCTCATTTTTTTGTATCATTATTAATAAATTGATTAATATATTAATTATTTAATAAACAAAAGAAACAAGTTTATGAATTTTATGACTCAAGCTTTAACTAAATAAGATAATAAATCTATTTTGGTAACTACATGTTTTGGAACAAGTACACCATCATTTTTACGTTCTGTGACAACAGCCGAACTATGCTTCTCAAAGAATCTGGTCAATTTCTCCAAGGGTATATCGGTTGTGAACTCTTCAAAGTTCTTTGCTCTAATAAATTTAAACATTACATCATTGACGGGAGAATCAGGTGTTGCCCTTCCTCTAGATATTCTGGCCAATAAATTACCAAGAGTTACTAATCCAACCAATTTTTTATTTGGTGAGGAAGTAACCGGTAATTGATCAAATTCATTTTGTTCAAGTATTTCAATAGCTTCCCTACATGTTGCTTGCGAATCAATAGTGATGGCCACTTTTAAGTTGAGATCTTTAATAGTAGCTCCTCCCCATTGTTGAATTTTTGTTTCCTCCTCTTTCTTGATGGTCTCATCAACAAATCCATGTTCTTTCATCCAATCATCATTCAAGAATTTCGTCATGTAGTTTCGAACGGAATCCGGTAATATCACAACAACCCTTTGCCCCTTTTTAAGAGATTTGGCGACTTGAATTGCCGCAAACATCGCTGAACCAGATGATCCCCCACAAAGAATTCCTTCTTCACGAATCAAACGACGTGCATAAATGAATGAATCTTTGTCGTTCGTTTTAATCCAATCATCAACTAAAGTACGATTAAGTGCATCTGGAACGAAATCATATCCAATTCCTTCAACCTAGATAAAATAATTCTATGTTAATATTACGAAAATTACGATTATTAAAAAAAAAAAAATTTTACATACTAGATATGGAGCGACTGATAAATTTGAATCTTCTGGTTGAGCGAGAATGGACCCATAAGGATCTACGCCTATAATCTTAACGGTGGGGCATCTCTCTTTTAATTTCATGGCTATTCCCGTAATCGTTCCTCCTGTACCAGCTCCCGCTACAAGTACATCAAGCTTCCCATCACAAGAGATTAAGATCTCTTCAGCCGTATGATCATAATGAGCAATAGGGTTATATGGGTTAGAGTATTGATCCAAAATTACAGAATTGGGAATTTCTTTGTTAAGTCTCTTAGCAACTCCGATATGAGATTCGGGTGAATCCCATGCTGCTTCTGTTGGTGTACGAACAATCTCTGCCCCAAGAGCCTTAAGAACATCAACCTACTCGTAAAACAGTTGAATATTTAAACGTTTATAAAGCATATAAATAAATTTTTTTTTTCTTCATCTATAGTCACCTTTTCCTGACTCATCTTTTCTGGAAGTGTAATAATTGTTCGATAGCCTTTTATGGCAGCGGTCAGCGCAAGACCAATTCCGGTGTTCCCAGAAGTTGGTTCAATAATTGTATAACCTGGTTTAATAATCCCCGCCTTTTCAGCTTCTTCGATCATACGTTTACCAATACGATCCTTTACGGATCCACCGGAATTGAAAAATTCACATTTTGCCACTAATATTAAAAAAAAAAAACGAGTTTTGAATATATAAATTTGAAATTTTTGACGATAAATTTTTTTGATAAATTACATATTTCACATTCGATTCCTTCGGATTTTGTGATCTGATTAATTCTCACAATCGGTGTATTTCCGATATGATCAAGAATCGTATCAAGAATTGGTGGCTCGGGAAGGCTGTACTTGCACAATATTATTTATTTATGCAATAAACGTTTTTCAAATAAATAAATCGATCAAACAGTTAAAAAATCATCCAACACTTACTGTTGTTCATGATGATGAGGGGATGATCCTGTAAGAGTACAAGTACAATTGTTGGCCATCGTTTTCTAATTATTACCTAGCGAAAGATTTTTAAATTTAAATAAAAATAAAAATTGCAAAAAATGGTGCTTAAAAATCAATTGTCGATCATGTCAGGGGAATTTCAAAGTTGAATTTATACTGACATAAAATTTACTAACCGGATTTATACTTGTGAGTTTATGCGTCACAAAACTTTATTTAATCCCTTAAAAAAAAATTCACAAAGAAATTTTTTTTTTAAATATCTGAACAAAGCATGAAGTTCGAAGTAATAATTCTAAACATTTTTAATATTGGATTTTTATTTTGCAAATAAAACTGGTGCTGTAAAATTATAAAAAAAAAAAAAAAAAAGAAAAAAATTAAACCATAATTAACTTCTCATTTGCAGTTACTTGATATATCACTAAATAAGTCTTTTATAATTAATATAATTAATTCATTTTAGTTTTTTTATATTTAAATTAACTTATAAAATTTAACAATTTGATTTAATATTTTTATAATTACTAGATAAATAGCTATCAAAAATTACATATCTAAAAAATCAAAAAATCATCTTACTCATTTGTAGCAAGATAAATAAAGGAAAATATAAATGTTATTGGCTTTATTATTATCAGACAATTATTTAAATATTGTAGTATCTTAAATGCTTTGTATAAAATAGAAGATAGTTTGATTTTTGATTTCAATTAAATAATTAAAGAAATAAAATTAAAGAAGTTGTAAATGAATCAGAAATTAATGATAATAAAAATGAATTAGAAGATAGAAATAAGTAAAAATGAAGATAATTATTGTAAAAAAAAAATAAAGAATTCAATAATTTAAATTAAAAGTTATAGTATTTAATAAAAATTTATTATTTTACAACATATATTTAATAATTTGTAATATTTAATAGTTTAAATTATTACAAATAAATAATGTTTGCTTAAAAAAATCAATATTGATCTAATATTTTTTTTTTATATAAAAATATATAAATATCAAAAAAAATAAAAATAAAATATACTTGCTTACTTATTAATAATTTTATAAATTTTAAATTATAAAGAAAAATCTTTTATTTTTTTTATTTAAAATACTTAAAAATTTAAAAAATTTAGTCAAATAAAATAAATAAAAATATTTTAAATAAAATTGTTTCATTAAATTTAAAATTATTTAATTTAATTTTATCAAGATTATTTGGTAATAGTAAAGTTTGTAATGCTAATAATATATAAACAAATTAATATTTTTTGCTATTTTAACTAATTTTAGCATTTTAGTTTAAAAAATTCACCTTTAATAATAAAATTATTTAAATTTTAATTTTTATCAAAATCAATTTAATATTTATAAAGTTTATAATATTAATAATACACAAATTTACTTTTTTTTATTTTAATTAATTTTGGTATTTTAGTATAGGGTTTTTAATCAAATCAAGTAAGATTAATGATTGATTATTTCAATCAATTTATCGATCGCAGAATATCATCATCGATCAAAATTAGACTAACTTTAATTGATTCTTAATTGATTAAATTTCTATGAATGATCGATTAATAATTATTATATTTGATCGATTATATCATTATGATATAATATAACATATAAATAAATAATAAACAAAATTAAATAATATCATTATTAAAAAAAAAGAAAAAAATTCCTTTTAAAGTTTAATGACATTCGTAAAAGGAGGAAACATTTTTTTATTCTTAAGACTTAGTAACTGATCTTTTAACATTGAAGCTTTTCAAATAAAATAGTTATAGTTGTAGCATTATTTGTTTTTTTTCGTCATAAAAATGCATTTACATGTCATTGGCTTATAGAAAATATGGAATTATATAATATATTAATTTGTATTGCACTAATTAATTATCCTCATAATAGCAATAATATTTGCCAAACTATTTTAACTAAACTTCAATTACTTAAATTAAATAATAAAGTAAATGTAACAATTACTGAAAATGGTAGTAACATGATTAAAGCTATTTATGAATAGGATAGTGTTAATTATATTTCATGCAATGCATATACATTATAGCTTTGTATTAAAGGGTAGAAAAAATTAAACTATATATCAACCAATTTAAGGAATTAATTTAATTTTTTAATTTTCCAAAATAAAATAAACGGTTAGAAAAGGCTCAGAAAGAAATTGCATCTAGATATAATATATAACTAGAAAATGATTCAATTTTATTTGATTTAACATCAATTGATTAATATCCATTAAAAATTTTGCAAACTATTAATGATATCAAGACCTGATGAATATCATTTTTAGCTTTTTAAAAAAGATTACAAGTATTAAAAGATCCTATTAATGAGTTTCTTTTAAATTTATGTCTAGAGAATAAATTTAAAAAAGATTATGAAAAATTAAAAACGTGAATTCTTTTAAATTATAAATAGATTTTATTAAAAAAATTAATTATTCTTTTTAAACCAATTAAAAAAGCAACAGAATAGTTAAGTGATCAAAAATATTGTACACTTTCTTTAATATATCCATCTATTTATGCATTATATTATAATTATATACTAGATATAGATAATAATATTATTAATAAAAGTGGGTAAGTATAATATTTAAATAATTAAAAATAATTAAATTATATTTATTAATATTTAAATTCTTTTTTTTTAATATTACTATAGATGAGGATTCTGAAAATAATGAAAGTGTGCTTGATAATAAAGAAAGTGATAATGATAATGATGAGAAACAATTTTTTTTAAATAATATACAAATGTCTTTATTAAAAATTAATAATATTATTAATTCTGTCAAAAAAGCAATATATGACGCATTATTTTGAATATTTTAATTCATCACCTGAAATTACTATACTTGTTAGCCTTTTAGATTCAAAATTTAAAAAAATGTATGGATGATCTGAAGAAGTACGTGAAATAATAATATTTTCATTAAAAAGAGAATATCATTTATTAAAAAATGAAGAAACTGTTATGCCTCAAATAAATTCAAGAAATAATTATTCAACAGGTGGGTTTAAATTGCATTTATTTAGATCATATAAAATAAATAAAAAAGATGATGAAATCAATTGCTATTTGAATAATTTTAGAATTCCACAAGCTATACCTAAAATAGGTCTATTTCAATTATTAATTGATAATAAAAAGAAATGTTTAACTTTATTTAAAATAGCTGAAAAATATTTGAGTGTATCAGCCATATCTATTCTAAGTTAGTAGCTTTTTAGTGATGCTGAAAATTAAATTATCAAAGATTAGACCAGTTTAAAACTAAAGACTATTAATGAATTATTGTTTGTAAAATAAAATAGTAAATATTATAATCCTTTTGTATAATTGTATATTGGTAAATTAAAGAGATTTTAGTAGTTATTATAATATTTATAATTGATAAAAATTAGCTTATTATAATTTTTTGATGCTTATATTAATATTAATAAATCAATCAATGAATAAGCAATTAAAATTCAATTTCTAGTTTATTTCTTTGATCAAACAATGTAATCAATTAAGAAATTAATCACATATGATTAATCAAATAAATCAATTTTTAATCAATCAAATAAGTAAAAGATCAATCAAATCATCGATTATGATTTTTTTTATCAATTAAATATCCTATTTTAGTATAAACAAATTATATTTTTTAATCTAAGTTAATAATACCTGCCTAAATTATTTTTATTATGACTAAACTTTTAGAAAATTTTATGTTTGACTAAATTCTAGACTAAATCTTTAACTAAATTTTTAGTATGATTAAATGATTAAATTGCTTTATAATATATAAATTATAAATTTTTATTTATTTATCTTTATTAAATAATATATTATTATTCAAAATTTATTAATTTTAACTTAAATTTTTTATTATTTATATTAATTAAATATATAATCAAAATATTACTAATTAAATTATGTTTTGATAGATATAATTATTTATTAATAATTTAAAATAAATGTTAAATTAATATAATTAATTTTGACTTTATTCAAATTAATTAGTGCTAAAATAATTTATTATTTATGCTATTTAATAAATTTTAATCATTTTATTTAAAATTAAAAAAAAATATTTCAATATAATTAGTATTATAAATTAAATTTTATCAATTTTTATAATATTTATTTAAAAAAAATTTTATAAATAACAAAAATTAATTAAAAAATAACTATTTTTAAAATTTCAAAAAATTCTTTAATAATAATATATTTTATTATTTTTATATTATCAAATTTTTAAATTTTTTCTAATTCTTAATATAAAAAAAAAATAATAATATTTAAAAATTATTATAATAAAATAAACAATATATTATTCAGCAAATTTATATTATAAAATTATAAAAATAATTTTATAAAATAAAATACTAAATTTTTTATAATATATTTCTTTTAATATTATATTTTCATATTGATATATTTAATAAAACAGATATTTTTTAATATACTTATATAATAACTTTTTACTAAATTACCAAATTTTTGTCTACATTATTTACTTATAAAACCAAAAAATATTTGTATTATCTTATTAATCTGTTTTACTATTTTTTTTAATAAACCTTTTATTTTAACTATATTTATAATAATAATTATTATTTTTCAATTAAATTTTAAAATATTATTTAGTTAATCAATAAATAAAAATATAAAAAATTAATTTTTATTAATAAAAATAAAATATAAAAAATATGAAATTAGTAAAAAAGAAAAAAGAGAAAAATATATATTATAAAAAAAATTACTACATATTATTACTAATATTTAATATTGATATAATATAATTTTCTTATATAAATATTTTATTACTTTATGTTATACTTTCTACATTTTATTTTTATTATATATTCTAAAAACTTAACTTTTTTTGAGTATAAAATAAATTGATTGTTAGGAAAATCAGGTTTCAGTGATTTTTTAATAAAATTAAAATTTTTATTGCATTTTAGTTTTTAATGTTATTAAATTAAATTGTATTAAGCTCTTAATTTAAGTTAAAATTCTTAGA